AAACACTCTGGCATATCCATATCCAGATAGATGCAGGCGAATTGCAAAACTCACGCCGTATCAGGCTCTTCGCCATCACTGGCCGCTGTTCTCCTCCTCACCTCCAGCCGTTCCCGTGAGATCCGCAGTCTCCCCTCGTCCATCGACTTGCGCCACGTGCACACCTCGCGAACTCGCAATACAGGCATTTCCAGGCATCTTCGATCTGCACGCCTTTGTGCTCCCGCTTTGCCTTACACCATTGCATGGTACCGCCGATGTAGGCATCGAGGGCACTGTCATCCATGGGAAAGATGCGGTTATCGATCAGCGACCCGTCGGTGCGGTATCGGTACTCCACCGAAAGAAGACGGCCAACAGAGTCGGCGCCATGAGGGAATGTCTGTTTCAGCTCAGCAACGAGCAGCGGCAGAAGCTCGCGTAATGTCCTGTACTTGATGAAATCCGGGGCCGAAGAGACAGTTGATGTTTGAGAACCGTCCGCGAGCTTTTGGCTGCCGGACGCCTTGGGCACGTACTCGTCATGGCTTGGATGGTCGATATCAAAGAATTCGTCGTCGTGTAGACTCGCAATCTGTGCGATGAACGAGTCGGAAAAGGGCTCATCAGGGTCAAGGTTGTACCGCCGGAATATTCGTAGATAGTCCAGCTTCTCAGCTGCCATGACCGATAAGAATCTGTGATACAGGAACAGCTGCACCTTGGCCGGCCTTAGCTGCGCCGCGTTGGCCGTGCTGCGCTTGCCCCGAGTCTTGACATCGGTGAGGTAGATTTGCGGTATCCTCTGCGTGCCAGGTTTCTGTGACGCAAAGTAGTCGGTGATGCTAGGCTGCGACTCTTGGCTTTTTCGTAGCTCGGCCTCAAACTCTGGGTCAGGGTGATCGTAACTCAGGCCATCAATGACGCCATTGACGAGGTTACCGTCCACAAAACCCCAGACCTCGAGCTCACGCGTCAGGCCCGTGTCGCGCAGCGTTCTGAGGCCCTGTATCAAGTTCCACACCTTCAGACCGAACGCATCCTCTTTGCTCACAACCTCAACACGGACCGTTGTATGCACTTCATCCTCGAGCTCCTTGTGTAGCTTGGTGCCCTCCTTCATAGCCACGGTCCGGGTCTTTCTGCCATACGGAAGTCTTGTCAACGTGTAGAAGTATTGCAGCTCGCACCATGACCCGGCTGTCAGATCGCTCACTGAAAAGGGCTTCTTGGGAAATGACCGAAAGCGTACGAGCGGCGAGCGCGTGTCTGGGTCGGCAACAGAACGGGTTCCTGTTTGCGTTGGGGCTTCAGGGGCCACAAAGGTGGATAATGCTTTGCCGACTAGACGCTTCGGGTCAGTCAGTTTCAGTGGAATACTGTCGCGAGGCATGGTGACTCACGATCGGGATAGCTGACAACTTGGTCGTCACGCAGAACCCTCTCGAGGGCGCTCGGTGGTTCTGCCAGGCTGCCTGTGGACCACGACTTGGGGTCTTTAGCCCACGCACCAGATGGACGCTTGAGCGCGAACCCATGGCCAGCCTGGGCGTCGTGAAATGCATGATCTGGTTGAGACCGTGGCGGTGTTTCTACCTGGTTCGGAATAATCGCCGACGCAATGGGTACAATCGGCTGCGTCGTGGTGTGGTCTGTGACCAGCTGGCTCAGGAGTGTCTCCTCTTCCAGCGAAAATTCGTAGTCACTGTCATCATCCAGCGTTGGAAGGGACGCCATGTCGAAGAAGATTCAAGACCATGTCGAGGGGATCGAGTCCGTCGAGTGGGCCGTTCGACGCATGTTGCGTCACGACTTGTGCGAGACTGGTGGTACTTATCATGGAGGGGCAATTGAGACGCGCGCTTGGATGATGACGGGTGTTGCCTGACACGAAGTCACGTGGTGTGCTCCGGCATGTAGACAAGCGTTTGCTGCCTGATTGACACCACCAGTCCGCCTACATGACCCATGCTCTGCTGAGGCTGCGCCTTGTTCATGCCATCGATGCTGTTCCTGTCTGCCAATCAGGCCCGTCAGACAGCATCCTCGAAGGACCGTATGCATCATAACCGGCACGGGTATCGATCCTTCTTACAAGAAAGATGCAGGCAATGTCGGGCTTCCTGTGGAGACCACGCGTCAGATGTTGCAGTAGCTCTGCATTGTGCTCCCCACGGCATCCTTCCCATAATTCCTCCAACCGGAGCAGCACTATAAGAGCGATGCAGTGGAAGGGGATCCCATGAAGATCGATTCCGGATCGGAAGCACGACTTGCAGCTATGAAGGACCTGGACCAAATATGAGTACTTGTGAGAGAAAGTTGACACGACCGAGCGTGCATGGCTGTCCAACAGGCGGGACGATGGCTGCAATTGACTCACAGTGTACAATCCCCGGCTCTGAGCAAGACGATGCCACGAACATCAGAATCCGGGGGGATGAGCTTTGCCAAGCTATACGTGGAACTGCATTAGCAGCCGCCCTTCCGGAGAACGCTATTCAATGCCTTGTGTCATGGGGCGAACCTCGGAACGATGGCTTGACCTCACGCACCGTCGCTGAGTGGGAACTCGAGACGAAATGTCTCGAGTCGAATAACACTTTCAAGGCCATCCGAAGTGTCGCTCTGGGTGTCGCCATTCTACGTCGGAAAGGCCCAGACGACCAAGCGCGGCCCTTGTATGATATTGATCTCGTTTGGCGCCTCATTCAACAGGGTCTCTCTGCCGACGCTGGCGACTCTCAGATATGGCGTCTCTCGATGTCCTCGCATGGCTTCCTCGGACTGAAAATCTACGAAAGTGCTCTGAATGAATCTCAAGAGCGGGTCGAGATCCGCGTTTTACTACCAGGCCCTCAAAGAGTTCATGGTAGGCCGATTCGCTCCGAAAAGCTCTATACGCAGAATTTTGTCCTTGCTAGCAAAGGGGCTATATGCTCATACCAGGTCGAGGAGACATCCGACCCGAGTCTTGCCACACATCACATCGGCACCAGTAGTGGCACGAAGTATCATAACCAGGTACTCCCGACGGGCAACACGGGCGTCATGGTGCGCGCCTCGCCAGTACCTCAAGACCTACACAGTCACAATGCTGTGTACTCTATTGCTGCAG